GACACACCCCTACCATACCCCCAGTTATATATAGGCAATGGACACACCCCTGCCATGCCCCTAGTTATATATAGGCATGTACACACCCCTGCCATGCCCCCAATTTTTTTGTAGGCAATGGACACACCCCTGCCATGCCACTAAGTATATATAGCCAATGCACACACCCCTACCTATATATAGGCAATGGACACACCCCTACCACGCCCCTAGTTATATATAGGCAATGGACACACTCCTACCTATATATAGGCAACGGACACACCCCTACCACGACCCTAGTTATATATAGGCAATGGACACCACCCTACCACACCCCCAGTTATATATAGGCAATGGACACACCCCTGCCACACCTCCAGTTATATATAGGCAATGGACACACCCCTACCACGCCCCTAGTTATATATAGGCAATGGACACACCCCTACCACGCCCCTAGTTATATATAGGCAATGGACACAACCCTACCACACCCACAGTTATATATAGGCAATGGACACACCCCTACCACGCCCCTAGTTATATAAAGGCAATGGACACACCCCTGCCACGACCCCAGTTATGGGCACCATTATGAATTTATATGTCAAAAATGATTTCTTTATATGTAACCCAGAATTGTCTTTTTTCACCATTACTTTTCCTTTATACTGGATTTTCCAAATAGCAAACATGATAATGATGAAGGTTTAACAATTGTAGTAGTTAAAGAAGAACTCTGGGCATATTAAAAAAAATCCACCCTGGCAGTACCCCCGCACTGCAAGAGTTAAGTACTCATTTTGGTCTAGGGTGTAAAATAAAAAAGATATACTCACCTGATCCTCAGTCCCACTGGGCTTCTAGATCGGTCTCCACAGCCTCCCCGGGCTCCAGCAGTTTATGGACCCTTGACATCATCGCGGCTAATGCAGCAGCATTGAACATGAGGATCAGGTGAGTATACTGTATCCTCTTTATTTTAGCCCCTTAGACCAAAATGAGCAGTTAACCCTTGTAGTGCTGGGGTAGCCTGCAAGAGTTAATTTTTACATTTCCTGGAATAGGTCTTTAAAGAAAAACTCCTGGACTTTGAGAAGTTAACCCTTACAGTGGGGCTACCCCAGCACTGGAAGTGTTTGTTTTAGTCTGAGGGCTAAAATAAAGTAGATATACTTACCTGATCCTCAGTCCCACCTGGCTGTTAGACTACTCCCCGCAGCCTCCTCTCACAGGCTGCGGCTGTCTATGGACCTGTGACGTCATCACGTCTAATGCAGTTGGACATTTCACCACCAGAGTGGAGGGCGAGAGAGGTGAGCAGTCACGGCGGCAGGACTGACAATCAGGTGAGTATATCAGCTTTATTTGCACCCCTCTAGACCAAGATTAGCACCCAACCCTTGCAGCGCTGGGGTAGACCCACTGCAAGGGTTAATTTTGCCATTTCCTGCAGTTCTTCCTTAAGAAAATAACAGAAAATATTTGTTCACAATGTTTCTCTTGTTGAATCTCTTTTCTATGAAGCGGTTCTATTGATTTAGGATTACTGGAAGTGAACGGGAAATCTCGCCTCATTAATAACAATGTTAGCGCATTAAGCTGCATGTGGCTGCTAAACGCACCTTAAGGGACGCACAGAATGTTTAAAGAGATATAAAAAGCTTTCTTTCTTTCTTTCTTCTTATCCAGCTTTGAAATACGAGAGTTTACGGCGCCCGCTTTACGGCTGGCGATAAGTTTTTTAACGGCTGCCACATTTCTCTCTGCAGCCCCTGAAAATGCGCTGCCAGAGTTGCGCGCTGGTGACCAGCTCCGGGCATCTGCTGGGAAGTAAACTGGGAAATAAGATCGACCAGACGGAGTGCGTGATACGGATGAATGATGCCCCCACGCGGGGCTACGGGCAGGACGTCGGCAACAAAACCAGCCTGAGAGTGATTGCGCACTCCAGCATCCAGCGGATACTGAGGAGTCGCAACGAACTGCTGAACATGAGCCAGGGCACCGTCTTCGTCTTCTGGGGCCCCAGCAGCTACATGCGGAGGGACGGCAAGGGGCTGGTGTTCAATAACCTGCAGCTCATCAACAAGATATTACCTCGACTGAAAGTGCACACCATCACCCGCCACAAGATGCTGCAATTCGATGAACTTTTCAAGAAGGAGACGGGAAAAGACAGGTGGGAATTTGTTTGTAAATAAGGATTGGCGTGGACCCGCGACAGGGTCATCAAAATAAATGATGTTCGTACCGTGTTTCCCCCGAAAATAAGACACTGTCTTATTTTCTTTTTTGCACCAAAAAAGACACTAGGTCTTATTTTTGGGGGATGTCTTACTTGGCTGGGGGAGGACTGCGGCCGGCGGGCGTGTGGGCGGGGCGGGAGCTGCGGCCGGTCTTTACATTTAAAATTCAGTTTATGTGCAGCTACCCCGAAAAGTAAGACCTAGCGGATTTCTGTAATATAAACTGGGTCTTATTTTCGGGGTAGTTCTTATATTACAGAAATCACTGAAGATAACGCTAGGTCTTATTTTCGGGGTAGGTCTTACTTTCAGGGAAACACGGTATGTGTATGTGAGTCCCGATGGGGGGGATGGATCGTGCTCGGTGTAATGATAGCCTGGAGGGCTTGGAGACCTAAGGGGGCTGTGTAGCGGTTTTGTAGATCTTATTGATTAGGATCAGGGGCAAGATGAATGTTTTAAAGGGTAATTCTACTTTCCCGGGCAATTTGGGAAGATGGAAATACCCCCACCAATCTGCCCCCTCCGCTGCTGCTCTTACCTGTCCATGATCACTCCTTCCCCTCCGCAGATCAGACTAGGGTTGCCACCTTTTCTTCAAGCGAAACCCAAACACTCTAACGACACGTGGACATTTTTGGGGGAGAATGAGTCGCGGGTTATTCATATGTAAATACCACAATTGAGACTATTTTCAGTGGGGGGCCAGTAGCCCCTATATTAATTTGCGTTGCCCCTGTCTGCCTGACATCTTGAGTTCGGGTTTCTGCTGCCATGAAACCCGGACACAGCATTCAAAAACCGAACTGTCCGGGTCAATCCTGGACAGGTGGCAACCCTAGATCAGACAGAAGTCAACTGTAGATCAAGTGCACCCGTCAATGAATTCTGAACGGTCTCATAGGTGTGATGGTCAGTAGTCCATAAACATTTGGTCATTTGGTGTGAATCTAATATATTGCGTATTAATAACACGCAGTCTTCTAACCAGCCAGCAGGTGGCACTGTAGTCTTCTTTTTACATTGGAAGCATTGTGTTGCTTTCAGCTCTGCTGGAAGAACTTTGCTAAAGACTCGTAAACACCACAATGCATGCGATATCACATGCTACAACACAACGCACAGTAACACATATGTGCATCGCCACTCATTTTTAATTGCACGCTAATGCACATATACATTGCAGTATAGCACACCATAATGCACACATGTGAATCCTCCATGCATTACAATGCACTGCATCATACAGAATAGGGCAGGTGCTGGTTTCTGTGAGCTGTGGGCCTATTCAAATTGCATGAGATGCCCTAAAGCTGAGCTCCAGCCTCACCTTGTGTCTTGCTTACTTTGATTTCCCTGCACTCTCTGAGTTTCTCACAGTGTGCATTGAAAGTTGCTGCAAGCTAAATAAAGCCTGCCTCATTTTTTGGCTGGGGAACATCCAGCATCACCTAGTTCTTCCGCCCCAGCACCCGCCCCCAGCCTGACTGTCCCTGGCCTGGCTCATTAATTCATTGGATTCTTTTGGCCATGGAGGCTCAGAATGCCATGTGGACTATACAACTCCAGCTTTAAAGTGACCCTGTCATTAAAATAAAATTGGGCATAGACATATCCCTGCAAAAGAAGAAATCAAATACTTCCCTCCCCCTGCTGCCGAATCCCGCTCTGATAAAGGGGACTTGTTCCCCGAAATTGGATGAGAAGCCCACTTCCGGGAGTAGTGATCTCCTGTGCTCCAATGGTTCCTCCTAGTGACCTCCAAACAGGACGCAGCACTGAGGTGAAGGTTGGCGGTAGGAATCAATGACCGCGGGGTAAACAGAAGAGTGACAGGGGTAAAAATCAGGGCTGGGGAATGAACTAGAGGGGTAGAGGGAGGTTTATAGGTAAATGTGGGTAATGCAAAACACACACTTTACGGCAGGAGTAAGCAAAGGCCACCAGCTGTGATCCAACTACAAATCCCATGAGGCATTGCAAGACTGACAGCCACAGGCATAACTCCCAGAGGCAGATGCATGGTGGGATATGTAGTTTTACCACCACAGCTGGAGGGCCGGAGTTTGCCTGCCCCTGCTTTAAGTATTCACGCCACCCACTGCTGATATCACAGTGTATGCTATGAAGACTCCATGCTGTGCTCTTGAGCTACTATAGTTTAGAGCAGAGGTAGGCAACCTCGGCACTCCAGCTTTGGTCAGACTACATATCCCATCATGCATCTGGGATTCAAGCCCGTGGCTGTCAAATGCTTGCAATGCCTCATGGGACTTGTAGTTCCACAACAGCTGGAGTGCCGAGGTTGCGATGAGACGTCTGCATCTGTGCAGAGGAATGATAAAATAGAATAATCAGGATTGGATGCTTGCTTCCACCACAGGTTCTCTTTAGCTCCATGTAGTACAGCGAGCACCATGTTGGCGGCCTTTGTAGCGTGCCTGCAATGGAACCGGGAACGTTCCGCGCCCAGTGCGAGTGCAGCTACAGAGGCTAGAAGTCCCCTTGAAGGAAAAATAAATGCATCATGATCAGCCGCAACATGGCGGAATCAAATCGTATTCCATCCACAGCGCCGGCATCCGAAACAAATACTTCTCCACGTACAATCTGCAGATTCAGGAGATAGCTGCGATCACGTCGGGTGAGATGGAAGGAAAACCGCAGGCGACGCAGGACATATTCCGCGACGGCCACATAATCGTCGCAAATAGTTAATTTATATTTGAACAGAAGAAATCTCGGGGAAAAACAATCACAATTATTATAGAAAAGATCATTAGTGAATACCTCGGGGGATGGAAGATTATAAATTAGAAAGGAGCATTTGCGTTAATTGCAGTTAAATGTGAAAATAGCGGCGGATCGAGGATTAGGAAAGGGGGGCGTCACGCTAAACCCAACACTTAAAGGGGAACGGGACCTTTATATAAGAGCCAAGAACAAGAAATGTCATATATGGTGGCTGCATTAGATTTCCTTATTTCCCTTTATTTTCACCTGGTGATCCTGCCAGTAACACACTTCCTGTTCTGGGGGAGGGGGGCAACGCTCACTTACCGTACTGTATCTATGGAGGATCTGGGGTGCCACCCTAGGACAGGACTACAGAAGACCTCTAGCTTCCCTCTTCTCCATCAGTGGCGGCCCAGTGCCGCCGCTGCGCATGCATTATGACGTCTGTGGTGTGACGTCATCACTAGACATGTGCACACGGATTCGGACGAACCTGCAAATCAACGAAAATCAGTTGATTCGGCGGCTCGTCCAAAATCCGAATGAACAAATGTATTATATGCCGGATTATACGAAAACTATATTCGGGTATACATAAATTAGTTTGCAGAACACGCCAGCGGCCATATTGGCCGCCGGCATGTTCTGTGCATGCCCGTCGCCATCTTGAAGGCGGAGTGTATGATGTCACATGACGGTGACATCACTCACTGCACGAGCAATGGCCATATCACCCGCCGGCGCGCCACCATGGCAGCACCTGCTCGAACATGCGGGTGCCGCCATCTTGGTGTATACCAAGATATACTCCAAAATGGCCGAAGCTCATTTTTTGGATTTGGAGTCTCATTGCCGCTGAATCCGAAAAACAACATAAAAATTTTTTTCCTTTGACAAAGCGAATGAAAATGATTTTCGTTTTAATTTGTTTCGTCTGAAAACAATTTTTTTTGTTTTGCACATGTCTAGTGATCACGCATGCGCGGTGCTGTACTTCATTGCCGGCGGCCATCTTGGTGGTGGACGCCGGCATAGAGAGGAGGTGATATTGACCCGGCGGGATCAGATATGGGGCCGGGTCCCCATCTCTCGCTCTCTCATGACGCTGTCCATGACCATGTGCCCGACTTTTAAGAGGAGGGGTGACACCAAAACGACTTTACACTATCCAAAGCTATCCATAAACGCAGAACTCTGGCCAAAAATAGCAAGATAAAAAACAGCCCAATAAAGGGTTAAATAACGAGATGTTGCCACAATATTCACCTTCAGTGCACAGATTTTCCTTGCAATACTTTTTTTCTGCCACTAGATGTCCTCAGTCTGACAGCCAGTAATATTCAACATACAGGTCTTCCTGGACCCACCCACCAGCCTGTGACTGGACAGGGAAAGGAGAAGCAGAACAGTGATGAGCCCACCTTTCCATCACTCTGCTGTCACCTACTATCAGCACTCTTCTTGAACTGATTGGTTCATTGTGCGGCTTCCTCTTGCATTCCATCCATGCTGTACAGGGACTGTAAGAGGCCTATACCAGGTCGCATGCAGGTACTTACACTGCTTGCATTGAAAAAACACATTTAATGATGAGTTATTGATCACAGAGCTGCATTCATTTGCGTCTTTCATACCTGCCTAAAGCTCGGCTTTAACTACTGCAATCGATGTGCTACAAATGAAAACAGTGAATTGTGTCAGTAACAAGGATATATAATGGCTGCCCCCGGGTGAAGAAGGAAAGGTGGGTGCTTCCAGTGCAGTGCAGCGTATTGGGAAATTAGATTTATGAAGACCTTCCTTGGCTAAATAATTGGCCCCCGTGCGTCCTCGTCATCATTGGCTGTTTATAAATGAGCCGGGCCGGGGCTACGCGAGCCTCTTATTACCAGCTGATGGCGGCGGCCGTACAACAGAATGGAACGTTTCTTGTTGCATACAATGGATCCATCAGCAACCCGTAGAGTCATAATGGAACAAGACAGGTAATAAATACTCCTCGCCTCCTCCTTACATTGCATTACTTTGTATAATAAGACCTTAAAGTAAACCTGTCATGACAGTCCTATTAATAAACCGTGAATGTGTCTTTACAAGAGGCTCCTACATCGACCTCCATGTACCTTTAGAGGTGACATTGAGTCTGCCTTCCCTGGCCCCTCCCCTTTATGAACATGCTTAAATAAAACCTTTCTGTTTTCATTATATACTTTATTTTAAAGCCAGTGATGTCATAGCTGGTGGGAGGGGCCGGGTTGGTGCTCTACATAGCTTGCTGAAAATATCACAGGACCCTGCCTCAGTACTCTCAAGAGCACTCAGCCCAGATGCAAGCAGAGTGGAGGAGTTATGCAAATATCGAAATGTCTTGACGGGTGGGTGTCGGTCTGGAGGTGTGGGCTTTCCTGGGTGGGCTGTATTTGCATGCGGACCATGCTAGGTAATGTCCACAAGAGATGCTGAGCCTCCATGATTCAAAGAGTTCAAGAGCCCTCAGCACTGATGCAAGCAGTGGGCTTAGGTTTGCATGTGCTGTGTCCGGGTTTCAGGTCAGCTGGCACAAGATGTCATGATGCCAGGTGGACAGGGACAACCACGAGGTTCTGATCCAACTTGAGTGTATAGAGGAGGGACGGGGCATGGAGGGACGCTGGAACTCGGGGAGCACGGAGGTGTCTGAAACACAGGGTGCAGATAAGTCTTGAAGGGCACAAGACTTATCTCTCTCCTCATTCTCTCTCCTCACTCGTTCTCTTCTGGCTGTCTCTCCTCGCTCTCTCTCCTGGCTGTCTCTTCTTGCTCTCTCTCCTGGTTGTCTCTCCTCACCCTCTACCCTGGCTGTCTCTTCTTGCTCTCTCTCCTGGTTGTCTCTCCTCACTCTCTTCCCTGGCTGTCTCTCCTCTCTCTGTTGGCTCTCTCCTCTCTCTCTCCTGGCTGTCTCTCCTTGCTCTCTCTCTGCCCTGGCTGTCTCTCCTCGCTCTCTGCCCTGGCTGTCTCTCCTCGCTCTCTCCCCTGGTTGTTTCTCCTCGGTCTCTCCTGGCTGTCTCTTCTTGCTCTCTCTCCTGGCTGTCTCTTCTTGCTCTCTCTCCTGGCTGTCTCTTCTCACGCTCTCTCTCTCTCCTGGCTGTCTCTCCTCGATCTCTCTCTTGGCTGTCTCTCCTCACTTGTTCTCTCTTGGTTGTCTCTCCTCACTCTCTCCTTGCTCTCTGCCCTGGCTGTCTCTCCTGGCTGTCTCTTTTTGCTCTCTCTCCTGTCTGTCTCTTCTCACGCTCTCTCTTCTGGCTGCCTCTACTCGCTCTCTCTCCTGACTGTCTCTCCTCTCACTCTCTCCTGGTTGTCTCTCCTCGCTCTCTCTCCTGGCTGTCTCTCCTCATTCTCTCTCCTGGCTATCTCCTCTCTCTCTCCTGACTGTCTCGCCTGGCTGTCTCTCTCCTGTCTCTCCTCTCACTCTCTCCTGGCTGTCGCTCTCTCTCCTGGCTGTCTCTCCTGGCTCACTCATCGCTCTCTCTCCTAGCTCTCTCTCCTGTCTGTCTCTCTCTCGCTCTCCTGGCTGTCGCTCTCTCTCCTGGCTGTCTCTCTCTCTCCTGGCTGTCTCATCGCTCTCTCTCCTGGCTGTCTCTCTCCTGGCTATGTGTCAGTTGTCACTGCAGTATGGTTGCCTTGTCTTCTGGCGGCCATTGGCAGCTCCCTTTACCTGCAGTGATCCTGTCATTCCTCCGCCCGGCACAATCCATACCCAGAATGTGGACTTCAGTCTGCTCAGTAATGGGCTCCGGATCCCTCTCATGCGCTGTAATTACAGTGCTCAAGCCATTAGGTAATTCATGCTTTTTGGAGATGGACTCTGTGTTTTTCGGTCAGTCCCTGTAATTTGGATGGTGATGGGAGAGGCAGGCCACTATCTAGTGTATTAGTGTTATTAGGAGAAGAGCATCGGATTGCAGGTACGTGTCCAATCCTCCCTCCGTCCATCCGTCCAGCCAGCCGAGCAGTGAGACCGTGCCATGTCCGAGCTCCCTATCTGCTAGAACAGGTTCAGTGCTGCAGCTTCATTGCTTTGTAATCTGAGGCAACATGTCAATCTGAGTCCTGTTACATCACTTTATTGTGTCAATAGTTTTGGAGAATAGTAAGAAAATAGATCTGTCATTGGTGTTTTTTTTTTGTCTCATTTCCCCTTACTTCCTGCCCCAGAGACACAACAGGAAGTGACAGCAAATTTCTCCCATCTTAGTTGTTATCAGAAGAATTATTCCCATTGAAAGCTACTCCTGTCCTGGTGACAATGTTACATTTTTGGATGATTCCTATCACCAGGACACATATAGAGGGTGAATCTCGTCTATAGAACCTAATAGGGACTCTAAACCTTCCCTACTTTATCTGCAACAAATAGTTTTGGCTTCTGATTCATTTTAAGAGCTTGTGGCATCCAGACTTAATACAATATAACAATGACGGAGATGTGCTCTGCTGAAAAAATGCCAGTTTCCTGGTTGCCATGCTGATGCAATGGCTTCATTATTAAAATGGAGATCTGCAATGGCGGCTCCTTTATTCCTCTCATGACTGGTTTATCAGAAAATTAGATGGGGTTGGGGAGCTGGTCATGTGACTGGCCTCTCCTCCAATCACCGAGTTCTCCCTGCTGCTTTAAGCAGAGCGAACTCTGAAGGACACCGCCACTCTCCACACCGCGACCTGCATTATATGAATGGGTCGTAAGATGCAGGCCATTCTTTATTATACATGCGCCTATTATACTTCATTATAAAAAAACAACCTGAAATTAGGACTGTGCCCCCCACAAGTTCAGCTGTGTCTCTGTAGTAATCCGTGTGACCAATAGGAAGTAATGTGTGTCTATTATTTCCTTCCAGGAAGATCTCGAATACTTGGCTCAGCACCGGATGGTTCACCATGTCCATCGCATTAGAACTCTGCAATACCATTAATGTGTACGGGATGGTCCCTCCAGATTTCTGCAGGTAATACTCCGATCTGGGAAGCTCTTTTCACAACCCCTTCTCTTCCCTGTGTGTGGAGTTTAGGCTCATGTACTGAGGATAGAAGATTTAGGTGACACGGAGCTGCCAAACCAAAAACCAGTTATGTATAATAATGCTAATAAAGTGGAATCCAAAAATATGTGGGAGGACCTAGTGATGTCATCACTGGGTCTCTGTGCTAGTACAATAATTTTTAGAGTTTGGATTTTTTTGGGGGGGTGGGGCTGTTGCTCAGTTTTTTGTAGAAGACTTCAGTTCTACTTTCAATAAATTATTTACTTTTACTTACAACCAGTCTTATAAGCACCTGCATCTTGATATCGGCTTCCACTAGTACTATGCATGTGCGTATACAGGAGGTGATGGGATATCCCGGATTCTATAGGAGATCAATGGAAACCTTCCAACGGGGACATCTGTTCTGGAGTGGTTTGCGACCCGTCCCGTAAAATATGGGATCGTCCTGGATTTCAGGCTAAATGCTGCACACTGTGTTCATTCAGTGAGGGACGCAGTTTGTCCCGTATTTTTGTGCACGAAGCACACAGGCTACTCCTGCCACCTAGCGTCCTTGGCTGGTAGAACGCATGCGACCCATGCCACCTTCCATTCTTGGTGGCTAGAACACAGACAAAGGGCATTCATGCACCAGCAGTGGAGACATTCCCCTCGGACTCTGATGGATAGGAGGCTCCTGATGTGAAAGGGTCTTCTGTGTGAAGGGGGTCTCCTGATGTTAAGAGGTGGTTCCTGGTGTGAAGGAGGAGCTTTGATATGAAGGAGGAGCTTTGATATGAAGGGGGATCCTGATGTGAAAGGTGCTCCTGAAAGAAAGGGGGGCTCCTGGTGTACAGAGGGGTCCTGATGTTGAAGGGGGTCTTCTGTGTATAAGGGGTCTTCTGGGGGGG